GGGTTGGCATCGTACTATCGCCGTTTTCATCAAAGCCTTCGCCGCGATTGCACGACCACTAACAAACCTGTTACGAAAGGACCAACCTCTCAGTTGGGACGCGGAGCGTGAGCAGGCCTTCGCTACCCTCAAAGATGCTCTGGCGACGGCCTCTATTTTTATCCAACCGGACCCCTCGAAACTGTTCATTCTTATCACGGACTGGCAACCGGAAGCTATTTCCGCTATTTTGCGCAGAAGGGGAACGATGGTTGCGAACACGTCATCGAGTACGCGTTGCGAACGGTGCCAGACGAACGAAGGAATGACTCAGCACCCCAAGGCGAATGCTATGCAGTAGTCTGGGGAATCCAACACTTCCATCCGTATCTCTATGGGCAGAAGTTCCGCCTTGTGACGGATCATGAGCCTCTGCTGGCTTTGAAGAAACTCACTAATTACACGGGCATGATTGGACGTTGGGCGATACGATTACAGGAGTACGACTTCGACATCATCCGCCGGAAGACAGAAAGACACGACAACGCGGACGGACTGACACGTCTGCATCGGCCCGCTAAAGTGCCTAAGGGCGAGGAAATCACTTCGTGAAAGGAGTGAGAACCGCCAAAAGGGCCTAAGTACGGACAAGTGGCAGTACTCCCACGTGGCAAGAAGCAGACCGATGGCAATGGGTGACAGAGGTAACGTCACTACCCCTCTTTCTCCCATCTCCTCTTCGTCTATTCCCTCCCTGCCTGATAAATTTGCTATTTTTGCGAAGCAATTTCTCGCGTATACTCGGTCTCCATGCGTCCTAACGGGGAAGGCTATAAGGAATGGGTAGATTGCCAACAGTGTGTCGCACGGGCTCATGGCTCGTGCATTCAATACCGAAATGACAGTAAACCATGGCTATGCCCCTTGTGTCGGGTTGACAAGATCCCGACCGAGGCTCGTTTTTTGGATGCCACGTCAGAAGGGATGGAAAGAACCCGGAAGTTTAGAAGGGCCGAAGTATGGACCGACATCGCTTTGATTGCCACCTTAGTGGGTAACCCCCTCCAGGATTTCACTAAGGAAGATCGGAGGAGGGCTAATGAAAGGGCTCGGGATTAACGATGGATAGAGGGTAGGTTAGAAAAACGGAAAACGGACGGCAGTGGGATTTGGATGGTTGTACCGCATCCGTTCATGAGGTATGACTGGGTGAACACAGGCCACGAAGAAATGGCGGCCCATTTTGCCGTACGAATTACGGAGTCGGCAATCGACAAAAACGAATGGTATTGGTCTAATATTCGGGACGATGTGAAATTCATCGTCGCGAACTGTCAAGTCAGCGCTGCAGACAAGGCGCCGATCCAGCCGCCCAGATCGATAGTGCCAACGGTAGTCGAGCGGCTGTTTCAAAGGGTGAGTATGGATACCACCGATATCGCGGTACCCCCTAGTCCTAATAGCTGTGAGTATTCAGTCCTGTTGGTATTTGTCGACCATTTTTCGAAATGGATCGAGGCCTATCCATGTCGCACGCGGCAAGCCACCGAAATCGTGCGGTATGTTAACCGTTTTCTCGGGATGCACCAGGATACAAAAGAAATCCTGACCAACAACGGGGCAGAATTCAGAGGGGAAGTATTAAGGAACCTGGTCATACACGGTGTCGCTGTGTGGAATACCGCACCCCACATGTCACAATCCAATGGGCTGGTAGAAAACGCGAATAGGGTGATAAAGACAGCACTGTGACGAAACATCGCGGCATGGGACCCCAGGCCCTGACCCGATATCGTAGACTGCATCTTGGCGGTCCATCGCGGAACGCCCCACGAATTAACGGGCCTGAGTCCCTTCCAATGAAGAACCAATAGCGTCGCTTGCATTTCGATACCAAGCCTCCCCGATGAATCGACACTCAACCGGCGGCCCACAAGAGCCACAGTTCGGGACAAGGCCAAACGGCACCTAGAGCTAATTGAACGGTCCCGAGTTGGCCCATGGCCGACAAATCCGACGCTACGAGGCCCGGAACGGGAACGCAGGTCCACGGCCCCAGTACAAATTGGGGGACATCGTGCAGGTGAGGAAATGTGCTCCCCAGGGTAAGCTAGTGCCACGATTCTTCGGGCGATTCCGCGTGATTGAGCTCGGACCAAACAGTGTGAACACCGTGCGGCTTGCGCCTGAGGTCCTCGGCAGCCGATCGTCTCGTCCGATCATCCGACACGTGTCCTACCTTCGTCACCTTCCTCCTTCCCCATCTTCGCCTTCATCTAATTCCTCCTCCGTTGCGGAAGAGGACGACGACTGCTTATCGCCTGTCTCCCCGTCTCCTTCTCGTTCTCTTTCTGTTACCCCGTCCCCATCGTCATCGCCATGAGTTTTCTTACGGAGCGAGCTCTCGGCGATCCTCTGCTGGTGCCACGGTGTTACATCTCGGCGATCCGACAAGTTCATCATCCGCGGCTCAACCCGGACCTTCGACGACTTGCGCAATTCTTTTGTACCCAGCAGAGGTCGCCAACGGGTGGTCGTGACCCGACCCAACAGTACCCAGCCGTAACCAGCAGTTTTGGACGGTTGCGGGTATGGTGGAAAGGCGATGGGCTGGTCCGGCTGGGTGTGAAAATGTGCTGGTGGAATTTGGGTGGGTTGGGAAAGTTTCGAGGGGGCATGGCCGGGCTTGGCTGGGTGTTGAAAAAATGCCTGGGCGGGTACGGCTGGTTGGAGGTTTGGCCTGGGTGACCTGGAGCCTATAGGCCAGTATCGTAGTATACTAGTATTGGACCTATAGGTAGTAGCCTGGTAGGTACTAGGTAGTACGTAGAATTAGGACCAGGCCACAATTAGATTGGTCTGGCTTCTCTATTTTTCACCGGCAGGTCGCAGGTATAGGGGTATTAGGGGCCCTTTCCTCCGATGGTTTTTTCTTTTTGACCGTTGTGGCAGCTGTGGCTGACCAACGGGCCTCGCTTCAGCACTCACTAAATCAGTAAAATGAGTATGAATCTTCCACCAGGACATGGAAAGATACACCCCCATTCTTTTTTGTTTTTTTGTGCATGCGGTGAGTAGTGGAGCCTCGCTCCACTACTCACCGCATGCACAAAAAAACAAAAAAGAATGGGGGTGTATCTTTCCATGTCCTGGTGGAAGATTCATACTCATTTTACTGATTAAGTGAGTGCTGGAGCGAGGCCACCTAATAGGCTGAATACCTAGCCTCTGTAACCCTCCGTATTATTGCGCCGCCAAAAATTTGAAGTTCAACTTCTAAACTTCTTGGAAGCTTCGATTGGTGGCGGGGCGCTGGGCTTCTCCGACCACAGCAACGACAGTCCAACGCCGTACGGTGTCATGCAGCGCAAGCGTCCTTGCAAGCGAGCGTAGCGAGGAAACCCGGCATGCAAGCACGCGCAATATTGCAAGCATCATGGCAAGTGCTGCAAGCGTAGAGAAAGCAAGCGTGGCGATGGCGAGCGCCGAGCATGGCGAAGGCAGGCGCAAATGCATGGCGACATTGGCGAGCTTGATGGGGCATAGGCACGTGCAGCGGCGGGCCTGCAAACGTGGTGACTTTTGCGCGCTTCACGAGAGAGAGAGAGAGAGAGAGAGAGAGAG